TTGGGTACGTGGGGTATTGACCCAATTTAAACCGTTTTTGACATTACGGCATATCATTACTAAAAGTCTCATAAAAAAAGTTCGTAGAGTGGCCAATATATAATCAACCGGAAGGAAGCGTTGAAAACTGTTAGCAAGCAAAATAAGAGCTTGCAGGATCTTTGGGAGTCACTAAAGCACCTTTTCGAAAACGTTTAAACGCCAAAAAATGGATCCATTACGTTATGCTAAACGCAAAATATGGTATCGCTGGTCAAATCAACAGGAAGATCGAATATCCATGGTTCCAGGTAATAACTTGTATTTGGTAAAATAAAGAAGTTATCTATAAAACCGAGTAAAAACTTGAAACTGAAGAAAATGATTACCTAGAGTTCACAACTTAGAAATGCGATGGACGGGATAAGGACTAAGACGAGTAGATTCTTGTGGCATTTACTACAGTGGTCATATAATGGAGCGCAAGTTGGTGTGGGATTCGTGGTGGAAGAGAGACTCCGTCGCGTATTATCATTCAATATGGTGAATGAACGTCTAGTCCAATTTGCGCCTACGCCCCGACGGTAGAGAAGGACGATGTGACCAAAGATGCCTTCAATGAGCGCACCTATGAGAGCTGCCCCCGCCACGATGTCAAAATCGTGCTTGGCGACTTTAACGCTAGGGTGAGCAGAGAAGGTGGGCATTACGGTCGGCAAATTCAGTCTCCACGGGGAAACATCCCCAAATGGGTTGAGGCTGATCCACTTCGCTGGAGACCAAAATATGGATATCGGTAGTACTAGATTCCAGCATAAGAAAATATATCAAGCTTGTACTCCTGCTCTCTGAGAGCACTGGCCTACAACTCGGTATAAGGGAATTGTGGGACGACATTTCAAACTCCTTATGTACAGCTGCCACCGAAACTATGGGTTTTCGGAAAATGCAAAAGAACAGCTGGTACGACGGGGAGTTTCATGTCGCAGCGGAGAAGAAAATACTGCCTATCTCGAAACGTTACGATTAACCGTAACATGGGAAGCGAGACGCATTTGCTGACAGAAAAAGAAAGAGGCTGAAAGTCATGAGTATGAAGAAAACTCTACGAAAAAATGCGGCGGCTAACAGACCGATGCCCAGAGAATACTAAAATTATGGAGCGACAACATCTACAGCCTGATAAATGGCAGTGAAAGCATAACGCCAGGAGATATCGAACCCGATTCCTCAATCGATAACGATGGAGCATACGTTCTACTGCCCGACCATGAAGAAGTTCGAATAGTAATTACCTGCTTGAAGAACAACAAAGCGGAGGGGCCGACGGTTACCGGCTGAGCTATTCAAACCCGTCGGCGAAGAATTGATAAGGGGCATCCATCAGCTTCTTTGCAAAATATGATCGGACGAAAGCATGCTCAACAATTGGGATTTAAGTATGCTCTGCCCAATCCACAAAACGGGAGACCCCACATACAGCAGCTGGCGTATGCCGTCCTATTGATATGATAACTTCGTCTATTTGGGAACCAGACTTGGCTCTCACCGTTGACAGTTATAACTTTGAGGTTGTAGATAGTTTCGTATAGTTAGGAACGAGTATAAACACCACCAACAATGTCAGCCTCCAACGCAGGATAACTCTTGCCAAGGTGCTACTTCGGAATAAATAGGCAATTGAGAAGCCAAGTCCTCTCTCCACGAACAAAAATCAAACTCGTCCTGCTATATGGTGCAGAGGCTTGGACGATGACAACAACTGATGAGTCGACGTTGTGAGATTTCAAGAGAAAGGTTCTGCGAAAGATTTATGGTCCTTTGCGCGTAGGACACGGCAATTATCGCATTCGATGGAACGATGAGCTGTACGAGATATATGGCGACATTGACATAGTTCAGCGAATTAAAACACAGCGGCTACCCTGGCTAGGTCATGTTGTCTGAATGGACGAAAACACTTCAGCTCTGAAATTATTCGACTCAATACCCGCCGGGGGAAGCAAAGGAAAAGGAAGACCTCCACTCCGTTGGAAGGAATATGTGGAGAGGACTTGCTTCGCTTGCAATAACTAATTGGCGCCACGTAGCGAAAAGAAGAAACGACTGGCGAGCTGTTGTTAACTCGGTTATAATCGCGTAAGCGGTGTCTACGCCAGTAAAAAAAAAAGAGTTCACAACAAGACCCGAGGTCATAATTAAATATGCCAACATTTCGCCGCATTTTGAAAAACCCATTAAATATAATAGCTAATCGTTTCCAACTGATATTTGTTCCGGTCGATGTAGATCGCCCTCACGATTGAYATCAGAACAGGGTATCAAMAATTKTTCTGATTCATTCACGAATATATTTATAGACCCAACACTGCAGATAATATATATAAGAAAATATATCCATTTTGTCATAAATCTCTATTCACTTGCTCCAACTTTATATTAATTGACAATTTCCATTCCATAAATTGAGTTGATTTATGCAAGTATAGTATTATTAGTTAATGATATAATGTATGTTTGTATATATATGTATGTATAAAAGTATAAATTTGTAATTTTATTTTGATATGTGAAACATATATAACATACTATATGTCATGTGTAGTATTTTATGTACTTGTTCAATCTCTAATTACAATTTTTATTTTTTCAGTTTCAAGTAAAATACAGAGTATAAACATATTTAAAAGGACGTCTACTAAATTCCGGTGACAAATCGATGATTGAACATAATGGAAATATTAAGCACATCCAAAACTAAATTTTGCATCAAATGCAACTTGGCGATCATTGAAGAACCACACTGTAGGTATTTTAACTTTAAATAATGTCCAAGGCCTTAAAGATACAAACTCCACGATTATATCGCATTTAATACTGTCGCGCTTCTACTCCGAAGAGAATATTTGGAAAGGTTCTCGTTCGTATGCTAGCTTCAATGTCAAGATTCCTCGCTCTAAGGTCAACTTGACACTATTTGTCAAGTCAAATTAATTCGAACTTTTCAAGTAATTACACGAAAACTTCCTATATTTAATTTTAAGACACGAAGAGCGATATAAAAATGGCAGTGAACGCAGTATTTTGTCTGATATTTATTTATGTAAGAGGCCTTGTGTCTGTTTTCTGCACTCATTCCTCACTCAAAATTGTTGCAGCTCTCAGCTAAACTGTATTGGTCACCCAGAACCCACTGCGTGGAGGTGGCTGCTCTTCGGGTTCCTCCCAAGCCCAACCCAACCAACCAACCATATGTCAGTCTTCTTTTAGTTTAGAGCATATAAAACGATCACGAGATTGAAGTAAGATAACTTTAGAAGATGGCTCTGTCACCAGTTTGACGGTTCTCTCGACTGCCACGGTGTGAGAGGGAATTCACTAAAATTTCCATGCCTCTGCAGTGTCATCCGACAGCCCTTTTATGAATTCTCCGTTAGAAACTGAACAAAGGACTGGTGGAACAGTCAAGGTAATAGTCTTCYAGTTAATCATATCGTAATAATTATTAGCTTTGAAATTCAGCTTTGGCACTTTATTACATCTAACCCTTCCATTTACAGTGTCAGACTCTGCTTCTCTGGCTGCCAGAAGACGGTCAAGGGCCAACTTTCTGACTTCTATCCATTTGTCAGTTATCATACTAAGGAGAATGTTTTCTGGAAGAGCAACGAAAGCATTCTGTTGAATGGATGTATCGACAACCTTGCGCAGTTTAGCAGGTAAGTATGTCGACCATTGAATTGCAGCATAGAGATGGCGGGAGCCAGGTTTGATTGAACTGTTGAATCTTATTGAGAACCACAAAGGTGAGTAAACTGTAAGTATGTACTTGACCAAAATCATTATTTCCTTTGTTGGTTTGTCAGTAGAAATGYATAATCHYAGAATTCTATTTGCACAGGTGAGCCAGCGAGATTTGCACATGTTACCTGGATGCATCGACGCTAAATCTGAGGGACATTGACCGGAAATAACAGCTTCTGGTATTTTATAGAGATAAGCTTGGTCTGTGCTAAGTTGGGTCGGATTAATAACCTCAGAAGATAATTGGCAGGATGGAAAACTCGCAAATTTGACAACAGGCAACTTCTCACAATCAGGCAGCAGTTTACCTATGTCGCCAGAGCATGTACTTGGACTCTTTGAGATACCATCTGTGTGTTCGAAAAGAGCACAAAATGGTATTTCGTTGAAATGTAGAAGACAAACAACCCACTGTAATAGCCTACCTATTCTTTCTTCTAGTTTCTGAATGATTCCACCTTTCCAACCTGTGTTCGTGTTGGTGCCATCAGCACCGACAACTTCTAGATGTTMCACATCAACTGAATTGTCTTGTAAATGTTGTCATATAGCGTGCGTCTCATCCTTAGCTGACCCGGAAGGAGAGGTGACGTGGTCAAAGTAATGACAACCAGGTTCCGCTATGTGCCGCGGTAGTACTTTTCACCTTCGCTGACTTGTGTGAGTGTATTGTCTTTGCGGCCGTTAAAATACAGCCCATATAAAGAGTCAATACTTTCGGTGTTTTGGAGCTTAACTCAAACCCTTTTTTTTGCCCGACTAATCTTATAGTTGGCAGTGACAAAGCTAGCCTGATCCTCTGTTATCAAACCTGCTTTTTT